AGGGCGTGGATCAGCAGGAGCTCTCGGGCACCGCTCACAGGGACGCAGAGGGCACAGGCACCGTGGAAGACCGCTTGGCAGTTTCACACGAAACTAAAGATACTCTTACCAAACAATCCAGCAACTACGCTGCTTTCTGTCTACGCACAGGAGGTGAAAAGTTATGCCCACCCTGAAACGTGCACATAAATGTTCACAGCAGCGTGATCTGTAGTCGCCCAAACTGGGAATATCTAAAACGTCCTTCAACAGGTGAATGGTTAAACTGGTACATCCAGACCATGAAATCCTCAGCAGCACAAAGGAATTAAGTCTTGATACAAACAAATCTCAAAAGGTCACATATTGAATGACCCCACTTGTATTACATTCTCAAAATGACAAAGCCAGAGGTGGGGAAGTTGCTGGGGTGAGGGGTCACGTGGGTATAAAAGAGGACCACAACGGAGCTCTCTGTGCCAGTGACAGTTCTGCGTCCTGCCTGCCATGGTGGTCACAGGAATCTGCACATGGGCTAAAGTGGCACAGAACTGTACACCCTGCACCGACAGCAGCGTCCAGGTTTGCATATGCTGCTGTGGATACATGACAGGCAACCCGTGGGTGAAACTGGGGGAAGTGTACGTGGGACCCCTCTCTCCAGCATTTCTTCAACTTCCTGTGAGTCTGTAATTATTTCAAAATAAAAAGTTTTCAAAACGCTGTGTTGTGAAAAACAGCAGACTCAGGCAGCAGTATTGGGTGTGGTCCTGTTTTTAGAGCGGCTGGGCAGGGAAGGCCAGGGGAGTCCGGTTAGTGTTGCCATAACACAACACCCGAGGCTGAGTCATTTGTAAGGAAAGGAGGCTTGTTTGGCTGACGACTCTGCAGGCTGGAAAGTCATGCCCGGCGAGGGCCACGGGCTCCTTCTGCTGATGGAGGAAAGTGGAAGGGGCCGGCGTGTGCAGAGATCACACAGCAAGACAGGGAAGGGTGCCAGGCTCTTTGAACAACCCGCCCTGGTGGAGACTGGCACAGCCAGAACTTGCTGACCCCTGAGGGCGGGCTTTAACCTCCACATAAGTGCCCACACCCATGACCCAAACACCTCCCACTAGCCCCACTTCCCAACACTGTCACACTGGGGGTCAAATTCCAACACGAGTTTAGGTGGGGACAAATCGTATGCAAGTGACGGCAGGATGCAAAGATTCGGGGAAAGGCCTGAGGCAGGAGGGTGCCTGCGGCCTGGAGGACGAGCCAGGTGCCCGTGGCCGGCAGCTCCTGGTGGGGCCTCCTCTTCTCCTCTCCATCTGCATGGTCACATCTGTGCCTAGTGCTTATCCTTTTCCTTAAAGAGCCCTCCAAGCCCCCGAGCTTTGGGCCCCTCCACCCTGGCTCCATCCCTGAGTGGGCAGGAGGAGAGGTGGCGGGGGGCTGGCTCAGGGAGGCCACTGGAAGCACGTGGGCACAGGGTTGGCAGCAGGGGAGCACCCCGAGGGAGCGGCGCATAGGATCACTCCAGCAGCTGAGGGGAGTGTGGACTGGAGGGGCCTCGGGGGACAGCAGGGCGACCAGGTGGGGCTATTCCTACCGTCCAGGCAGCAGTGGCACTGGCCTGGCCCAGGTCGGTATAGGTGGAGGTTGATCAAAAACGTCTGCGGCAGGTAGAGCTGGCAGGATCCGCTGACAGTTTGGAGACCAG